ATTTAATAACTCCACTTAACCCCAGACAGATTCCAATTAATATTAACTACTTTCAGGACAAGTTCAGCTTAACACTAACATTTGGTGCAGACCTTAATAAAACACTATACACTTCAACATATCCTTTTTGATAGCTGAGATGTATGTAAAAGTGTTCTTCATTAAATTTAAATGGACTCATTAATAAAATATCGAGGATGTGCTACTTTAAGCTATCAGGAAAAAAAATGTATAAATTGGCAATAATGTTATTTCTATTTTTAAATGCATCCCACAGAGGCACCCAAGATAGATAAGTGCTAAGCCCATCCCACAGCTTATTTATTTATTTAATACTTCTTACATGCTATTTTTAACTGCAGAAGACAGCAAAAGGCATCCATTAGAAAAATTATATTGGTTAGAATTTTCTTCACACCAGTTAAACAAGTTAGATATCTGGCTGCAAGCAGTTTTAAGAATAGATGGGTTTTTTCCCCCTTCATTTTCCTATACATTTCTGGAATAAAAAAAAAAAAAGCAATTTTATTTTTGCAGCGTCAGCTAGGCCAGAATTTGTATTTGCAAACCTCTGTCAGTCCTTACTCACTCCCCAGCTCCCTCTTCCCACTCCTCCGCTTCCCGCAAGGTTTAATTTTGTAAGCAATAAAAGGTTTGAATGCATACACAACATGCTTACCACACAGGGACAGTTAAAACAGAGATATATGGGTTTGGGGTTTTTTTTAAGCCTCAGTTGTGCATAGAAATGAAGCAAAAGGAAATGCCAGTTTCATAGCATTGCATCATGTTGCAGAAGACCTACTCCTTAAGGAGAGGAAAAAAGATAGTTAGAAAATTGCCATTTTTTCAATGAAGTTAGAGAAATTTATCTTAGTTGATGTTGGTAATGCAGTTTTCCTTAGAAACCAAGATTCTCTGGTAAGCTAAGAAACCAAAGGAAGAATATCTCATCCTTGTCTGACAATCCCCCCCATCTCACATACAAGTTTTCACAAACAAAAATGCCAGACCTACATTGCCAAATTATTTACTTAGAAGAAAAAATTAACTTGATTTCTACATGTCGTCTTTTAACTCTATGCCTACCCTGGGGAAATACAGAATGTTGTCATGCATAGCCTTAGCAGCAAGTTTTCCCCTTTCCTTCCCCTTTTAAGAAACAAAGCCTAACTCCAGCACTCCCTACCTGTTTCCACCAGGGTTTCTGGTGGTGCAGAAGACAAAATTGCACATGGGCATTTATGTGTTATTTCAGGAAGCTCTGCAAGCATTTTGAGTCTCCTAATTTTGTCACAGAAGACAAAGAACTGGATGTGTCTTTGCCGCCTGGCCAGGCAAACAGCTACAGGCAATAAAAATGGTACAAGTGATGATGACTTTGTGAGGTGACACAGGTCCCCTGCCATGCCCCAGGTCCCCATGCCCAGGGTAGAGTGGGCAGACCCTGTTACATGAGGGTAAATCTAGACAGTGGTGTAAGTAGCGAAGCACAGGACTGGATAGTTCATGCATATGCAAGCAGCCCAATTTCTTAACATCCATCTTCTCTCTTTAAATTTTGCACAATGAGTTTTTGTAAACAAAAACATGGAGGTTTTCTGTGCCGCAGGGAACAAGGACAGTTTGTTCGTTCTACCTGCCTAGAGATAAGCTCGGTTTGCTGATAACAGGCATTACTGAGGCCATAAATGGAAGGCTTTTATTCATAATCTATTCACACATGGTACTAACAATGCTTGATGACTAAGAAATACTTGAATTTCTAAAAGAAGTTGCTTTCTCTGTAGTGGAAAGGTCACACTGCAGAGAACTATGCAAGCAGCTGATGCACAAGGCAAGTGTCACCACTGGAAAGTTGGATAAAAAGCAAATAATGCAATTTTGTGGGTACAAATACCACTACTCAACTCGAGATAAACTGGATAAGTATTCAAAATATTCTCTGTATTTGGCACCTGGCCTCAGGCCAGGCCTGGCTGGGGCAAGAGAGCCTCTGATGTACATTTTATTTCTGACTTATTTCTGAAATACTCTAAGTATTCTGCACGTGGGCCTTAGAAAGCAGACTACAGTCTGCCAGTAGTAGGCAGGACCCCAAACTGTCTGCTGAAAAGCCAAATTTAGAGCTCACATACTTCTTCCCCCTAAGTATTACACTCAATTATGTTAAATGGGCTCATTTCCAGGGCACAGCATCCATGCTACATTCCACAGACTGCCCAAAAAGAAGAAATGCGAGTTATCTGCCTTGTTTCAGATTTTTGCTTGCAACCAGAAACTGCTGGGATTTAAAACCCTAAACTCTGAATAAGCTTCACAGGCAGTTATTCAAGAAACTAAGAAATGCTATTTTCAAAATCTGGGAATGTCAAAACTACACATCACCCATCTTCTCGTGAGGAGCACTGACACACAAGCAACTCCATCTCAGAACCCAGAGACACATTCTTCCAGGAAAACTTAAACTTTCCCACTTCAGTAAAATCCTCCTCTACAATTACAAGTTCTTATGCCACTCTAATGAGCAGAAGCAGAGACCTAACATGTCAAATGGCTTTTTTGCATGACTTGACACGGTGAATGTAACATTTCCTCTGGAAGTGCTGTTCATACATACACTTGTGCAACATTTAAACTGAATAATCTAGTGCTGTCAAAACAGTTCATTACCAGGGTCTTGTCAAGTTCCCTAACCACATTATACAAACAATATTCCTTTCACTGCAAAAACATGCTTGCGATTCAAATTTTCATTTACTAAAAGAATGATGTTCCTGTAAGTCTCCTGACTCAGACCCTCTTTGCTGAATGTGCATTCACACACTAAGAGACAATTCTTCACATCAAGCTAAAAAAGTCTGATCTGGAGAGCAGCTCACATAAGCAGCAAGAGACCTCACTGAAAGGTAATCTATATTTTGTTAAACCCGCCCAATATATAACATCGAGTTTTCCTGACCTCTACTATTTTTATTTTAGCAACTAAGCAAAACAATGCAGTGACTACCTTAGGTCTGCAAATACTCAGTCTCTGAAATATTAATTACTTCCATTTATCTGAATGGAGACTTAAAATTATCAGTATCTTTTGTTACCAGTTTTGCTAGACCCCTCTCACCTGCACAATTCCCTCCAGCTCACTAGCCTCCTAAACACTCAGCTTCTTCTGGGATTTTTCAGCAATGCAGATGTTTTAGAAGAACAAAAATCCAGCAAGGCTATTGATCTAGAAGAATAATATTCTGTTCTTTTCTTGACACAGAGTAAATATGTTATTTAAAGTATATTATTGATATATAAAATCAAGAAGCTTGGTAGGTAATTTAGGATTTCCAGATTCTGACTGGTTTATGAACTAGTTCAAGAAAAGAAACACAGTATCACAAGTACAGGAAGAAAGAGGTTTTCTGATACCAGTTCCATGCTAGATGACTCCTTTATCCTTTGAAAACAACACTGGCTTATAGCAGGGGAATTATTTTTCTCTCCAACAGATTTGGGCCAGAACGTATACAGGCCTCTATCTGAGATCTCCTTGGTATTGGCAGGTTCTAGAAATAATTGACTTTAAAACTACAGCTACTGCAGAAATAATTTTTGTAGGCATAACTGCCCTTGACAAAAACTCACTATCAAACCAGGAAAACATCAACCTCCTTGAAAACAAACAATGATCTGAAGGACCATGAAAGATCACCCATGAATTATGGAAAAGCCAGGTCGTGTTGCAGCACTGGAAGTTTCCACCTCTCAGCTACACTGTGGAAATCCTGACTGCTGAACAAGAGAGGGGAAAGGAACACAAAGAGCCCTGACAAATAGTAACGTTTCACACTTTAGTACGGGAAAAGACAGGCAGATCTCCAAATCCACCCTTTCAAACTAAATACATGATCAATATATGTGACTTCTTAAGGGAACTGGGGACCTAACACCACCAATAAAAGAAGAAAAAAAAAAAGGTAATAAGAATAGTCATGAATCTCATTAAGAAAAGTTATGCTGGAAAGCAAGGTACATGATCTTTCACATCATCCTTTCTCTCCTCCCAGGAGCTTAACACACATAATGTCTTTTATACAACATTCAACTCCACATGTCTAGACCAAGTTCATTACTTGGGGCAAGCCCCTTCATGTCCCTTCTAGAAGATAAGGCACCAAACAGAGCCCAACCAGAACAAATACCTGCTTCAGAGCAGTGTGTTTGATTATGGGTTGATGATATGGGCTTTTTTTTGGGGGGGGGGCTTGTTCTGGTTGTGGATTGTTTTTGTCTTGTTGTTTTTTTTAAATTTCATCCTGATTCTTTCAGGTTACTAAAGATACAAATCAATTAAGTTTTAATTATTTTTAATGCAGAACTTGAACTGTATTTCTACTGGGAATAAAGGGGAGTGATTAATTACAGAGAGTTGAGTGAGGGAGAACAGCTTGAAAAATATCTGAATTCAGAACAACAGAGCAAAAGGGAAAGTGCTCAAAGGAAGTGCCTAAAGTTTATCTTGTACAGGATCTTACAGCAGATTGCCAGCACCATTTTTTGGGAAAGTTTTTCATACTCTTCAGAAAAGAAATTTAAAAACTCAAAACAATTCAACTGCCAAAGAAACCCCTAAGATCAGGGAAAAAACCCACAACCCACTCCCATTCAAAGGGAAGCTGGAAAAAAATTAAGAAAACTACCTTTGAGAATGCAGATGTTTCAAGAGATGACCAAGTCTCGAGTGCTGCCTACAGAGGTTAGACTCTTAAATTCTGTATTACACCATGTACCTGATCATACATGCACATTTTGGAAATGTCAGAAAGGTAGGCTTTCTTGGTCTCTTTACACACTAAGGTAATTTTGCTTTGAAACACCAACGAAGACAGTGCACCTGACAGATACGTATTTAAAATCACAGAATACGTGTCTCAAGTGATTCTCAGGTTTAAAAACCATTTGCCTCACCCTACTGTTACAACTCAGGCCACAACAATCTTAGATGAACCTACCATGTGGTAGTGTTATGTTTGCACCATCAATGATTGCTTGTGCCAGTTCATGATCGTTGCTCTCAAAAGCATGTGCTGCAGCCTTCAGGGCATCCCAGATCTCCTTGCGACCTTCAAAAGCTGGTGCTGTGTCCCAAAACTCGTCCCTCTTGCTGCGCAGCTGCCCGTCTGTCATGGGGTAATCACTCTTCCATTTTGGCTTCTCTTTTTTCAAGGGCTGGTTACGACCGAGAGCAACTGTGAAGGAGAAAGAGGAAGGGAAATTAAAAAGATGTAACAGCACAAATTACTGAAGTGCCCTTTGGGCATTCTGGTCAGGGTCTACAGAGCGAAAGTTTCCTTCCAGGCAATCCTGATTTTTTTTCCAGCTCCTCTGAGGCATCACCTCCCTTCCCCTGGACTCTAGGAGGTTTTACCTCCTAGAAGAATTGAGGGGCTACCTCCCGCTTTCTGATTTCACCTGCATCCAAGCACCCCACAACTTCTTCCCAAATTCCCCAGAAACTCTGCATCCCTCTGCCTGTGCTGCGAGTGCCTGGCTGGGAGACTCACACCCAACACACACATCTTCCAAATCTTCCACAGACTTGAGCAGCAGTACAGTGAGACCCAGTTATCCCAACACCTGGGTGCAGTGAGACAACACTGCATCAGATCTCTGCTCCACTCTCAACCAACATGACATTCTCTTAACACAAGAGTTTGAAGAAGCTAAGGATTTTATTTTTTTACATCATCTCTTTTTAAACAGCTTTAATTCAAAGTGTAAGCAGAAAAGCAAGTAAGATGCACAAAGGCTAGAACTGTCATTGACAGAAATGCCTGAAGAATTGTCCTGGAATCCATCAAGCTTTAAAAAGTGGTTACTTCATTCACAATGAACACGAAAGCAGCACCTGCTTCTTTTTAACTACAGCTATTTTTGTGTAATAGCCAGTTATGATCATCACACAGGAATAATACTGGTGGATTTGAATCACTTTAAATTACAGCATTGCTAAGATGGTGCTAGACCCTACTTTTCCATTTATGTAAGAAGTTATTTCAACTTTTGTTGAAAGGAAAAGCAAAAAGAAGGGAACAAACTTCAGTGCACACCAGGAAGAGTGTCTCCCTACAAGAGTTAAAACTCGATTTCCTCCAGGCAGGGAGAAGATCCACACAACAGGACACTGTAAGGACAGTATAGGGAAGAGAGCAGTGACAAAACACAAGAACAGTTCTCACCACAGCTCAATACCACAAAGCCTTGAAAACATAAGTTTAAATGTCTCCAGAGGAAATGAAGTGTCCTTTAACAGTTAACTAAATAAATGTATTTGCAGCTGAAGATAAGCAGGCCCTCCATGGGACAGGTCTTATAAAGTGGGTAATGAGTACTGAATGCTCCCTGAAGACAGGTAAACTACATAGGACTGAAGTCATTTAAGGATCCCAATACATGACGCTGGAGGAAAATCCTTTGCTACACCTTCCATGAAGAGCAATTGCCATCCCAAGAGAGCAGAGGAACCTGGGGCTGTTGTAAGGCTGGGGAAGCACAAAGAGATGCAGTCTGTCACCCCACATCCAAGTTACCAAGGCCAAATTATCAGTTAGGAGAACAAGACACCAAAACCACTGCGATTTCAAAGCCTGAGGAGCAAATCTGCTTTTTATTGGGTGCTCCTGGCTAGTCTGCAAGGATGGGAGAGCACCAGGACAAACACAAGGGTTTACATTTAGCTTTCTGGATCCCATGTCCATCCTTAGAGATTTCCCTTCTCCAAACACTTATTTTTCTGGCAGAAAGTTGACAACAGCTGACCAAAACCCCTTGTATCTCTCCTCAATCTTACTCCAGTGCTCTGTTTTCAATGGAGTAATAGAGTAATGTCTCAATATAATACATAGTTCTTAATCTAGATTTAGGCTGTATCTCTACAGCTAACTACAAACCATATTTATGGTGAAGAGTTGGGGAGAGGATGAGACATGACTGAGAAGGCTAAGTGTCAACATATTAGAAATACTCATTTCAGGGAAGCTGTAATACTTTACAAAAATAGCACTTAATTCAAATATTGCCTCTCTTTCCTTGATTTGTTTTTTCTGCCACAGATGCCCTCAGCTGTTTTCAGATCAGCACTTGATGCTAAGCACTGGGTCTCAGAGCTGACTATCAGTACCTGGTGATGCAGCAGACATGACAACATCACAGTCTTTAAAGAGACCAAAACACAGAAGCCCCTGCTTCAATTTATAATCCAGAATTACATTACTTGATAAGCTGAGACTTAAGTAAATGAAAATGGGCTATCTAAGAGAACTCCTGATGGTAAGGTGACATTGCCAGCTACAGGAAGGCATGAGACTTCTTCATATTGAAAAAAACATAGCAGAGGATAGATTTGCATGGGAAAAAAAAGTCAGGTCATCATTAAATGTAGCAAATGACAATTGGATGGCACACATGCAGTGTCTCCAGCTGTTACTCTGTATCCCATGCAGAAACTAACAAAAATAAACTTCTGAATCCTTTCAAGTGACCACAAACATTTACTGCTTTTTTTTTTTTTTCCATGGGCTTGCTTCCATGAGATTGCTTCCATTTGCTTTTCAAAGGAGTGCTGACCATTTAACAGATTTCTGAACAGCAAACCCAAGCGTTTACAAAACACCAAGTTTCCTGGCAAAGCTCAGGCACTGCTAGTCCAAGTCTCAGCTGAACATACACAAGCTGGGAGTTGATGATGGTCCAGTCTAGAACAATGGAGAAGGAGGCAACCCAGACAAGATGAACTGCGTGCATTAAACAGTGTATTATGAAATTGTAAAAACATGTGGTAAAACACTTAAACAAGGAATTGTTTCGTTATTAAAGCTCAGCACTTACAGCACAAAAAATTTCAGACAGAACAGGACATGGTAAGAAATTTGGGTCAGTGGGCATCTTTCTTCCATTCTAATCGGCAACATCTGTTTGCATGTACATTCAATGAATGCTAATTTATCCCACCGGGTCGGTCCTCTCCTTCTCCCCAAACATTAATTACAAAAGCAGGTTAAAGGCTGTTCCCGCAGCCCCCGAGCACACAGCCCTGCCTGCCCCTTCCCCGGCTCCACTACAGACCCTGCGATAGGCCCTTCCTCTTCCCCGTTTGCCCAAGATAGCAGCTGAATATATTGCTCTTCACTAGACAAGAACAGCAGGGGAGAGACTACAGAGGCCCTAACAGTCTCAAAAAACTCTCTAGAGATACAACCCTTCCTGCACAGCTAGCAGGGATGACACACCTAGCCATGAAGGCTTTTTTTCAAGTTGGAAAGAGGGATGGTGGAAGAAAGTGACACTACAATTGCCTCTAAAGCCAAATCCACTCTAACAAGCCATCCATCCCAGTACTAAAGCTTTAAACACAACTTGGCTTCATAAGCCAGTATTTAAAGGTCTTTACCTTCATTTCTTGTGCTTACCACTTGTTAGAAGTGCTTCAAGAATCCTGTCAAAGCTTTATGCCTCCCCTGAAGAAATATTAATCTCTCCATAGCTGTGTGGGTAGATGGAGCAGAAGGGATACAAGAAACATAAGCCATGTAAAAAAACTCATGTGTAAAAGGGCCTAAATCTTTCACTTTCCACCTCATATTTTAGGCACTGAAGAGAAACATCACTACATGAATTTCTACAAAGTTTTGGACCATGTTAAAGGACTTTCCCTTTTCTGTAATAAGGCTTATAAAGACAAGTCAGAATAAGCATAACTCAACCATCAGCAGCCTGAAACACTTTGTCATATATTTACAGTGTCAGTTTTATATTCTTCACTTTGGAAGTAAGCTAGAGCTCAAAATAAAATGTTGATTTCATTTAAGACCATGCACATCAGAGGCACAACCAGCTTGCAAGATCTGGAAGAGAAAGTAACATCCACATTAATTTTTCATCTTACATCACTTCAACAGAAGTAAGAAATTATTAATACACTGCTTGAAAATAGGAATAGTTCTGTAAGTGCCAAAAAAACACATTCTCTCTGAAGCAATACTGAAAGTTGCCCATCTCAACAGATGCCAGTGGTTGATACTTTTGGCAAGAGATTATTTAGAAGGAAATAAGAGCATTAATAGTCTACTTTTCAACAAGAAAAAGATTAGCAAAGTAGTAACACTTCAGAATAATTTAGGCTGTTCTTGCTCCAGTAGCTCCCAGTGGTGCTCTTCATTTCAAAGAGGGGTAAGAAGTTGCTGACAACCTGCAGGACTTTGCTTAGGAGCCTTTCCCAGTGAAGAGCAACCACACAAGGTCACTATGTGGCCTTACAAAGGATTTTCTTGGGCTGCTCAGAGGAGCAGCTTCTGAAAAGAGAATTCTAGTGCTCTTTATCCTCCTATTAGACTTGTTCAAGCCAGAGTTGCCTTAAAGATGCTTCCTGTGCTGCTTCTGTTCCCCTCCAGCCTGAACTGCACTTACTACTTCCATGGTTCACAAACTCCAAACATCATTTATAGGACTTGCTATGGTCTGTTCAGGTTAAAAGCAGCAGAAGCAAGAGCTAAGAAGGTGAGAAGTCCTGATAATTACTAGCTACATAAAGAACTTCCTAGGGCTTAGCATGCGTAGAATAAACTCAGATCTATCTAGTGAGGCATTCTGGGATACAGCACAAAGCTGGGGTGGGACAGGGCACTGCAGTGATGTGCAGAAAGCTGGCGAAGCAGGAGAGGAGAGAAGTTGCCTCTCCTGAACTCAGCACCCACCTGTCAGCACATCTGCCATCCAGGTGTCACTACACATGCAAAATCCAAACACTGCTCAAGCTCCCTCCGTAGTCAAGTGTCCCTTATGAAACAGTTTAATAACTCAAAGTGACCCAAAACCAGTAGCAGAGAAGCAGTCAGCTGGTTCTGGCCCACCAGTAGGATTTAACAGCATATAAGGTATTTTCACTTCACATGTAAGGGAAGTACTCTGGAATCCTGGAGGTAGCTACTACTTGCCTGACCCAGTAACCTTAGCTCCTGGCAAACTACAGTCTTGTTTTTCGGAAGCAAAGACCCATTTCTCCACTCCTTGCAGACTATTTTATAACCCAAACTATGAAGGTTTGTTTCCCTTCCCTGCAGTATCTTGTCAACGCAGTGGAACCAGTAAGGTTACCTACACTTGAGTGAGCTTCTGCAGATAAATCCAGATATTTAAATCAGTTTTTAAACAAAATGTCAAAAAATGTCTATATAGAACTTCTTTTTT